TCTAAGTAGGTGCTTTGGACCACCGAGCCATCTCACCAGCTCCTCTTTTTTACTCTTAATGTGTAACACACAGATGTAAATTATTTCCTTGACAGCCACTGTAGAATGTAAACTATTGCAAACTGCCTCAGCCTAATTTCTGAAGGAGTGACTCATTCATTAAGTTGCTCTACTGAAAAGCTCAGGTAGAATTCCTAGTTTACTAGCAGAAAGAGAAGGAAAAAAGGTACAATAGTTCAGTGGAGATCTTTCCATGGTCAAGAATGGATTGCTGACCTAATGTCATTTAGCTGGCAAAAGGAGTCACATGTTTCATAGGCATGTATATTTCCTAAGTCTGAACTAGATTTAAAAATCCCATTTTTCAGAAATTTACATAAAATTCACTAGAAGGCGTAGAAACATTTTCGCTAGTGCTATTGTCTAGAGTCAAGCAAGGAATATCAGTACATTTAGCCACCAATTCGAATGCAACACATACAAATACAAAACAGGCATAAAATGTCCCATTAAAGAAACATCATAACCTTATAACATTTCCATGTTTTAGTTTAGATTTACCAACACATTTTGACCAACATTTTAACAGCTGCATAATGAATTTATCTCTGTACCTGCTGCCAGGCGAAAGGAGCAGGTTCTGAGGGTGATGGTCAGGGGTCACAGCTGCTTCTTATCAGTTGGAACTGCTGCTGTGACCATGTGGGATTGTCCGGTCCTCCAGGGATGGTGTCTGGCACAGCAACCCTTCAGCCATTTCAGAGGGTCATGAACAAGATCAAGTCAAGCCTGAATGTAAGTGACCTGGTCAGGGTGTTCCAGATTTCCAAAGATGACTCTCTGGACCTAGTAAGCAAGAGAAAGGTTAAAAGAGCCTTGCAGAGGCCAAGCAGCCTAGAGGAAGGAGGGCCATTCCAATTTGCAGAAGGTTCAATATTTTCTGGGGGACATGGAGTCTCCGTGCTCTGAGGCTTGTTGTCTGAAATCCTGAAAATAATTTAGAAAAACATTATAGGGGTGACAAAGACACAGAAACAGAAGCAGACTGACACATAGTTATAAGACAGACAAACAACAATCAGCTGAAACACACAAAAACAAAACAAAACAGATCTGAGACTCTGATCCACCGTCACAGAGGGAGTCGAGTCCAGGGGCTATCATTACATGCAACACCGCCTAGGACTTCCAGATGGGCACCGAACAGAACAGATACAGGTACAGATGTCTTACCATAAGAACTTACAGATGGCTCGGAGGTTCAAATGATAAAATTTGTAAGTTTTCAGAGACCATCCTGGAGCCAGAAAGTCTCCCCTGGGTTTCCAAAAACTCTGGTTCCTCAGATTGATCCCCAGTAAAGGGGATCCCAGATGAGCCCCCAAATGTTATGGGTCGCTCAGAATAAGAACCAGATCAGCCTGATTGGAATTTGGAAAGCCATTTATTACCGAGTTCAGGGCCCCCATCAGCTTTCATGCAGGAGAGGACCAAAAGGCAGCTAGCCCAGAAAGCAGGGGGGTTTTAAAACATCGAACCACATTCCATTTGATAAACAAATTCATTGTCTGACACATAATAATGCTTTCATAATAATGCTTTCAGGCTCAGTGGAATAAGTGCTTCCCTGGCAAGCACAAGGGCCTGAGTTCAATCCTCAGTTCTGCAAAAACAACAACAAAAAACCATAATAATGCTTTCAGGGTCATTGTGACCACTACTCAAACAAAATTTTCTGGGGCTTTCTTTTAGTTTCTGGTTATCTTGCACCTTGAGTATTTGCATGC